CCAGATGCCTCTCTCGCCATTTTGCTCCCTGAAACCACCTTGCGCTCGGGACGAACGATGTTTCAGTAGCTGGCTGTGGTTGTGGGCTGCCGAATGGCCATTAAAGTATGTTTACATTAATTTGCCCGTTAAAATGTGCAAATACAAGTCTGGTTGTGAATGCACTGTCTACTGTCATCACCACGTGCCTTTCTCGATTCACTGTTGGATGAAAGCCTGTCCGTGACTTTGCCATAAACTTCTCTTTTCTGTGATTCTTTTCCACCTTGATTTAACGAGCTTCTTCAGCTCATCGTTTCATCGATCTGGAAGTCCTTCTACGAACCGTTCGAATATCCCTCAGATCCATCGATCGTCGGTTCCTCTTGCAACGTACTTGGCCCTTGGCTGGTTCGATTTCTTTACTAAGGCAATGGTATTCCAGACGCCTGATTGTTCTCTTACCTATTCGACCTTCAGCCTCTTTGTTCTTATATTCGCAGCATACATAATTTACACCCCTCCATGCTGCGTCGCTTTTCTGTAGCTGGTGAACAGCCTTCACACTTCATATTTCGCATCTCTACGTTAACAGTGGGATCACGATCTTCCGTTACAGGAACAAGGTCAGTTTCCCACATAGGAATATTTTCAATCTTCCAAACGGTGTTCACTTCAGTTTTACTGATCTGGTGATTCCGGGAGAATTATGAAGAATTGATAGGCCACGCAGTTCTGAGTGATTACCTTGAATATGATGGATTACGATCTGGCCTGCGCTGAACCATAAACTTTCCCATGGTCGCGGCAAAGCACACTAGAACGATCCAACTGTTAAATTGCATGACTAACATTGGAAACGGCGAACTGGGAAAAGTGAAGATTGGAGGAGCATGGCTTTGCATTTGCGGTGAGGTCAAGTCGGATAAACAATCAAGATTTATAAAGGACTTACTCAGAGGCATGTGACTCGGCTAATTAATATAAGAGAAAAATATAACTTCATTAAGTGATTGGTAAACCAGACGATCCAGGTGAGATGAAAAGCGTCGTTTCGTGTTTTTTGTGCCATCGTCATCAACGGTCGGTGATTTTTTCCCCTCATGAATTGAGTGCGTTGAGATAAAACTCGCAAAGCACTTTTTCAAAATATCGGAATTCACACATATTCTCGCTCACTCAACTGTACGTTTCAAAATAAAGTGAAATGAAGTGTGTAAATATGGACTACGGTATGAGTCTCTTCGTTCCATGCTATCAATGAGTTCTTTGACGGCGGCATGACGACCTGCTCAGCTAACATGTTTCTTACGTTGTTATTTTATAATGGAATGGATATGGGAGAGTGAATAAAACATGGCTGCGCCTGCCAACTAGAAAAATCATTAAGCATACTTTCCAAACCTTCGTCGTTCTGAAATCTCTCGCACACTTAAACACTCCGCTATGGGCTGGTTTCCCGAC